TGCCAGATTGGTTTCCTGGGTCTGTGTTGCCTTTTGAGACCATCTGGTAGCCCAGGTATGTGAAATAACCTCATCAGAGCATTCCATTTTCAAATGTAGACAAGCCAGGGTATTCAAAATAGGGTATGTCCAGTCTTTTGTAGTAGCCACCTAGTCACAAATGCTGGCCAAAGTTAGCATTTTTATTAATTTTTTTAAAAATGTTTTTCTTTTGCAATTTATATATATAAATATATGTATTAAGGCAATTTGCCTGCATTTGTGGGAGGTGCTGGTTTTCTACCCCTAGCCTACTTAAGGCACTCCCCTTGCCTGGCTCCTTACCGTTCGAGGTCAGCGTTGAATGAGGATCCACTTCCGGGTTCTCTCAGACGCCATCTTGGTTTCAGTATCCAGGAGGTTTCACCACGTTAAGCTGTGTCCAGGAATCCTGTTCAGGCCTTTCCGCCCGTCCAGCTTCTTCTGACTCCGTTCTCCGTCGTAGATCGCGTCCCAGGGACTCCTAAACCGTAAGTCAGACCTTCCTGTCACGCCAGGACTGGTTCCCACGGCGTACGGTACAGCACGGGTCCTCGCTTTACGGCTTTTCCCTGGTTATGACACGAATGTTTCAAGCCATTCGCGGGCTTTTCATTCGTACGGTCATTCGGCTGAACATGTTTTAAATCGTTCAATAGTCATTTCGCATATCCTATTCATGTTATTTAAACGAATGTTCATTCGGTTGTTTTGCCGTTCGGCAAATTTTACATACGCTCATACACGCTTTGGTTCGCATAAATCATACGGTTAAACTATTCTAACTTCTGTGTTCCCCTCACATTTGCTTTCGGCTGTTCTGTGTGTTCACGTATAATCCTTTCATGAATTATATTCACCATTTCATGTGTATATAACATTCGGTTAAAGTATTGCTTGCTTAAATAGATTATTGTTGATTACTTTTAACAAATTGTCAGTATTGTATTACGTCCACAAATTAAGTCCACTTCTCTGTGTATACCATTTGACTCCCACGCTTTCAGGGGTCTGCATTACTTATCCATTTATACGAATGGACTCAGCCTATGTTACAAGCCTCATTTCTGGGTTATTAATACAACATATACAAGGATAGGTTCATTTAAGCAATAATTCTCGGGTTGATACGTCTTTGCTATACATACATATCATATAGATATACATCACTTTAGATCATGTTAAATCATTTTGGGGTATCCCTGCCTTTGGTCTTTCTGCTACATATCATACATAACGCTGTGTTAATTAGGCCATGACCTCATCCATGTCCCTTTCTATAAAACCAGTTACATTTCGGTACAGATCATTGAACTCCCACGCCAGGAGTTTTATAACTATCCATTTCATTTCAATTTACTCAGCCTACATTACAGGCCTCATTTCTCTGTCATGGCGATGACACATAAGGCTTAAATCCTTTTGCATGCATACTCGGGTTGAATCACACGTACTGATCCAACCAATCATACGTCCCCTACACAGTCATATACATATGTATATAACCTACGTTTCATGTTTTCCTTTACACACCATTATCCCGTAACACATAGATTGTTTGTACATAGGCCACGGCCTCCCTCAGATGTCTTATTCAAGCATGCAAACATTTCTGAGCCACTCATAGCTATTCCCATGGTATCAACATAACATTGCTGCTACAGACTATAAGTCTGGTTCTTTTTACACCCCACACTCATCGTACTACTCTCTTTTACCCATTTTAGGCTGTCGAGCTTATATAATTTCTCCACACGGTTTATTCCTGTGATTTATCATACTACCAGGTACGTACACCTGCTCACATGGTATTCTACCATACATTTCATTTCATCCCCCTAGTTTAGAGTACTGGCAATAGGGTCACAGGATTCCCAATAGGTATTTACCCCATCTTGGCTGTCGCCATTAGTTAGTGGTCCCGCGAGGCCAACACCCCGCCTCAAACGTTTGGGAGGCAAACACCCATCGGGCCACACGTTAGCTAGCCGCCTCGCATGTTGCAAAGAGAGGGCCTCACCTGTCACTCCCTTCCCCTGTTTTCTGTCGTACAGTCACCGAGAGGCCTAAAACTCCTGGCACTACGTCAAGTGGCCTCAATAACCCCTCGCGCCAATGCATAGATAGAGCCTCTCAAGCCGCTTGGCAATTAGTAGGGCCTCACCTGTCACCAAACAAGCATAATACTTTCGCCATCCGGCCTAGCTAGCCTGCCAGTACAATTTGGTGGTTCTATATACTAATTATTGTTTTATTTATAGTATGTCTCAGGAGGGGGTAGAGGATTTCTCCCTGCCTAGCACCCCGGCTAGAGCTGTCACTCCCACACAAGGAGGAGAGCTAGCTAGTCCAGCATCAATTAGATCCTGGACAATCCCGCGCATAACCACGGAATTAAGGAGACGACAAATCCCCTACCCAGCTACAGCAAGGAAGGCAGAACTTTTCAAACTGCTACGCACATCAACCAATAACATGGAAGCCGGGGAAGGATCTAGCCAGTCCAACCCAGGGGACATACATGCCATGTTATCCTCACTCATGGCATCCATGGGCAAGGTCAACTCCAGGCTGGAGAAACTTGAGTCGGTCACCACGGCCCTCACTCTAGCAGGGCCACCCGCGGCTGCGGTACAAACACCAGCCTTGCCATTAGTGGCTCCAGCCAGCCCCCTGGATGACCAGGAAGTTAGCCTGGCCCACATGATACCTGAGCATATCAAAAGGGATATCCTGGAAGGTAAAGACGTCAACCTGGCTTCCCTGTTGATTGCCTCCCAGGACATTGTGGAACATAAGGCGTATGCTTATGATGATGTTTCTGTTATTGTCAGATCTAGGGATGCCCGCCTGAACAGGAAACTGACTATCCCTGAATTTGTACTAGCGTTTGGTATTTACAGGGATGT